TGACAAATTTAAACCAAAAAAAATGTTGAACTTTTAAAAATAACTAATGCCACTTAAAGCACTTGTCAAGAAAAGCCGCAGATTTAAATTTCTCATTCATTTTTATCAAAACAACTGTCCGTCTTTTGGCTTAAACTCTTTTTATGGTGATGACCACTTTGATAAGTCAGAATCATGGCGAATTATTGTGAATTTCGGGGTTTTAACCATGGGAATTTATTTTGGTGTAGGTGTGTGTCTCACATCCGTTGTTTATTTTGCAACTTTTATGAACTTGGCTTTCGGTTTTTGGCTGATTGGAACAGCTGTTCTGCTGCAGTCCCATGCAATAACACACACACTGCCACCCACCCACTCACGCCCTTACACACACTGCCACACACACACATACACACACACACAGGGGAAACCGTTAGCCGGCCCGTAATTGAACATTTTTTTTTTTGTCGATTAAGCGCATGCGCGTCACTCACAAATCTTCACACGAAAAAAAATGGTAGTAAAAAAGCGGAGCAAAATCGCGGAAAAAGCACGCACACCTGGCACCACATGCTGCAACAACTCGAGCAATTATTGTTTGCCCGCTCACTTAGCACCGCAGAATGGAGTGGAAATAAATTGCGGGATAATCACCACTAATTTGCGAAAACCAAAAACGGTGCCAGGAATAAAAAACAAATTGAACTATGGGCGAACGATAGCGATAACTCACCATTGGCGTGAATATGATTTGTGTTGTTTGGTTGGACATGCTGATACATGACTTGCTACAGTGCGCCAATGTCGTCACTTTCATGTCACTTTAAACACTGCGAGAGAATGAAAGCGTCGCCCTGCGGCTCTGCGTATTTATAAGGCGCCGGGAATCGGAATCTGAATCGGAATCGGACTGGGAGTCGGGCATCGGCATCGACATCGGACTCGGACTCGCACCCGGAATCGGTATCGGTACTCGCTCTCTGTCGACGCCGCAGCCGGCAATTTCCCAGTATTTCTCTTCGACCCTGCTCCTTTTTGAGCGGAAAGCAGAGCTTTTGGCCGCTTAGCCGACTACACAGAAAAAAAAAATAAATGTACGTAATTAAGCTACAATCGAAATTCGTAATATTAGACCGTTTCAATCTGAATCGTTGGCATGCAAAGGCTCAGTGAGCCATATTACTAAATTAAATAATAAAGTCACTAATTTGGAAAAAATTCTCTCTAAATTTTAGTTAAATAATTTTCAAATAAATGTTTAATTGTGAAATTAAAAGTAAAAGTCCTGTTTTATTAACTTATTAAACCCTAGTTAATTTCATAAAATTTGTTTCAAATGAAATAAGCATTTACCAGTAAAACTATTATCAAAGAATACAAAATGTAAGATCCTATGCACCATCTTATTCGACATTTGGTACTTTTTACACCAAACCAAGTTGAATTACAAAAAAAATCGTTTTGGCTCATCATCCATACGCACTGTTGCCTTTGATCTATTAAATTATTCTATCAGGCAAAAGTTTCGTGTGAGAAATTTTTATTGAAACGTTGAGAAAATTTTAAAACGCAAAATACTTAAAAACAAAAATGTTTTGATTTTCGTACACAATTATTGCACAGTCAAATTGGTGAGGGTTTTTTTATTGGACCACCCTAATGAGCAACGCCATATTTACAGGCATTAGGCCCTTGGTTGTTTTCTTTACATCAAGAATTGATATATTGACCTTAATTTGTTTTTGTGTAGAGAGAAAAAGCTTGCGTGGGTGTGCGGCTTGCAGGAGCCCGAAAAAGGAGAAAAAAATAGAAAGAGAGAGAGGGAGAGAGAGAGAGAGCGAGGAAACGGAAGAGGAGCGATTTGATGACGTAGTTGGACGGCAAGGTGGGCGATGGGCTGAACCGAATTTGGTCGACGGCACGAAATGCACTTGTTAAGCGACCCACTAAACCATTTGTTGTTGTGCGGAACTAACATTTGCGAGCCCTTTAGCACACATTTCTCTATGTGTCGATTTCCAGTGCTAATATGACTAATGTGACAAGCCCATTGGCTTCTCATTATTTGCATTTAAATATGTGAATAAAGCAATGTCATAACATTTGAGCACCTGTGTATTAAGTGCGGTGCTCTGAAAGATGCTGTCGAGAGTCACCTGTTTGTATTAATAATAATAAAATAGTGCCAATAGGCGGGCAAGTCGATTGCGCCTTTTGGCTTAAATTGTAGAAGTCAGCCCCGAAAAATATTGTTGGCTTGGCAGAAGGGAGTCAGAAGATTAAAAAATCAAACATCTACTCTTTTAACAAACCTTTTTCTTTGCATTCTATGCAATTAAGATCTAAGCAAAATCTTTTGAATTTAAAGTATCACCCTATTATTAATTATGATAAATTTGGTTACACATTAAATCGATTTAGTTAGATCAAGACAAACTAAAAACTTGTTTTTGTAAGAGGCATAATTTTATTTTAACTAATATCCCAGCGCAGCAATTTCACACCTATATTTGTAGCGCTAATCATTTTGAATGGGAGATACAAACTTATTTAAACAGGCGTAGACTTAAAACTAGTATTTATAACGTGCTTTTTGTCTTACTCAAGACTGTAATTTTATATTTGTAATAGATAATTATTTAAATATTCAAATTGCTTAATTATATTTAATATTCAGGCGCAGCAAGCTTACACTTATATTTTAGCGCTAGACACTTTGAATGGTAAATATAAACTTATTCAAACAGTATTAAAAAAAAAGTGGCTTTTTGAGCGGAAAGAATTTGAATTTTCTTTTGTTTTTTATTTTACTTTAAGTATTCTTTAATTTTAGATTTAAACTTAGCTGCGATCCTAATTATCTTACAGTATATCGAGTTAAGTGAGTTTGTTATATAAATAAGTTGGTTCTTTGGCTATCATTATCTTATGGATATATAATAGAGTCCTATAATAACTTTTACCATTTATTAGGGCAGATTTATAGAATAGGGCAGTGTATAGAATTTGTTCAAAAGTTTTCATAAAAATTCAAATCTACGGCACATGGAGGAAAAAAACATTTGTTCAAAGGCAACAGTGCGTATGAGTAATAAACATTGAAGTCCTACACTTATCAGCTTGTACAATGCGTTTTGGTGCATTAAAGGCATACCAAAAAACATTTTTTAGATAAAGTTACTTGAGGTTGTCTGATTTTTTCCACTTTAAGTTATAAACTTCAAGGACATATTAACTTCGTCAATATGGTAGCCACCTTGGTCCAATTACTTCGTTCTGAGTTGCTCAAATTTCTGCATGGCAAATAAACAGTAAATTTGCGGTTCTCAATGCTCATTTGCAAAACACAGTCAATATTTTGTTTCACTCGAAGCGCCGCCGCCAATGCTTACTCTAATTTCGACAAATTAGGTTTTCTGTTTTTGCATCCGATTTTCCACTTTACACTCGAAATCTGCGGCTTTAGCCCAACTTGATAAGACTTGACATTGTAATAGACAAAGGTTACTTTGACTTTAAATATGGTCAACGTTTTAGATTACAAAAAATAATCAGAATGTTTTTAAGCTGGGATTAGTCGGAACTAGTAAAGCTGCTGACAATTGACTGCAGGTGGGTCGACTTGGAGTCGCAGTGGATACCTTATGGGGTAACACCAACCTAGTTTTTTGAAAGGTATACATTATTCAGAGACGTGCAATTTCGGCTTATTTTTTTTTTTTTTGTATTAGAGTCGATGTATCTATTTGTCCGTCCGTGTGAACCCCAAGATCTCGGAAACTATAAAAGCTAGAGATTTAGGACATGCAGATTTTAGTAATTCTTACGCAACGCAAGTTAGCGTTCTGTTTGTTTATTGTTTTTAATATAAAAGAACACGAAATTTACCGACTTTTACCATAGTGCTCATATTGTATAAACAACAAGAAATGAAGCAAACTTCGGCAAGTCGAAGTTTATATACCCTTGCAGCTATTGAGAATACATTTTCTTTAAAACATTTACATTTCGAATTATATGAGTATTTGTTTAAAAACATTAAAGCTATGATGATCTTAAGCGCAATGATTTGATCGTTCCTACTGAATTATTAACTATGTCAAAAAGAATTTAAAACAAATTGAAAATTGGATAAGATAAAATTGTTTTTCCTTTATTTTTTTTATAATATTCTGATTGTTCTTATAAAAGCTATATGACATAGTCGTCCGATTTTGACAAAATTTAATAAAGCAAAAAAAAAAAAAAAATTGAAAAACATCAAATTTAAACTTTCTTTCTTATTTCCGATTGCTCCTTTGGGATCCAGCTTATTTCGACTTATGTACCACCTGCAACAATAATACAACTTTTGGGAAAGTTTCGAAGACATCTACCTAAAATTGAATATATCTTAGTATGCTAAATATTAACCATTTTTCTCAGTGCAGAGGAAAACAAACAAATCGATGCAGAGACAAACAGACAAACCGAAGGGAAAGCATTTTTAAGCCAGGAAAACGAATAAGTAAAGAATAAACAAAAAAGAGTTGCTTATGCTTGAAGGTGATTGGGGGCTAAGGTTTTGGGTTTTTATTTTCCTTAATGTATACTTCTATTGAAAACAAATAGAATATTGTAGCAAAATAGCTAAATTATTGTAAATGTCTAAAAATTGTAGAGATTAATCGAAGTGAAAGGTAAAAATAGCGCTAAAATTTATGATTTTAGTTTTTTTATTGAAATATGTATTCGCATACACGTTAATTTTTCGCCAACACGTATTCATATTATAAACAAATAAAAAATTAAATTTGTTTAAATATTAATTATTATTTAGAAATGCTTTGGATGGCTTTAAAGTAGAACCTGCACTTTATTGTCCGTGCAGAGGCGTAGTAGCAATCAATACCATACAACAGAAGCATACAATAGTTCAATATATATAGTTCACTATATTTCACTAAGGCCACGACTCTCATCTTCTATATTTATTTGGTCCTCTTCTGCAATTCTAAAGGTCGAAAACTGAACACAATGCCTTTCCAGACACAATTATTTATTTATTTTTATTTTATAACACTTGATATGATATACACTAAGGCGTAGAGTGCTGGTAGCTGGGTCCTTAGACTATAGACGATAAAAAGGCTATTGTTAATCCTTGTTCCACTACATGAATTTGACTTTATATGTAGGTACAATTTGCTAATTAGGCATTCATTGCAATTAAATTGTTGCAATCAAAAAGTAACATTAAATAAGGTTTTTAAACAATGAATTGAATTGAAAAATATTGGTGTTTACCCAATAATAATTATACCTGAGACCTGATTGTTTTTAGTAATGACAAAAATACCTGTAAAAAGAAAGCCATTATTACTGAAATACAGATATATTGACGAGAAGTACCTTTTTTAAAAATTGATTCTAGAAGCTTGTGGTTTTTTAAAATCCTACACGATTCGTTCGCAATAATTGAACATTTATTTGTAGTATTTTTATATTATGTCCATGCCCAAGACCGCGACTAAAACGATAAAGTAAACATTACAATAATAACAATTTTGTAAGTCTTAAATAAATGTTAAAACATTTTTACCAAGTTCTCAAGAAGAATCTTCCATCTCTTCAATTTAAGAGGCACTCCCAAGATAATCCATGCACAAATTGCATCGACATCAAGTCCAAATCAAATTTTGTCCTGCAGTCTCCTCCTTATGGTCTCCATGTTAGTAAATTTCAAATTTCTTTCATTTCAACAAAGTAAGCAAATAAAAAAGCAAATGTAAACAAAACTCAGAACATATGGTTAGCAATCGATAAGTTCAAGCGATAGTTGAGTGTATGGCAACGCTATGAATTCCGTTTGGTAAAGATGCCACCCTGTCAATAGCCCGCCAAGTGTAACAGACTTAAAATTCAATTTAAAATGTTTACAGCTTCGCACGATGAAACTAGTAGATTCTCTAATGCACTATAAATCGATCAATAAACTCTATATATATTAATTTCAGTCGAAAAAATGATTTATGATCTGATTGGGAAAATGCCAAGTTGTTATCCAAAAATAAAGGAGAATAGCCTAAAGATGGCAGCGATAGTTCACACTGCCATCTGTGAACTATCGTTGCCATCTTTAGACTATATAGCACAGAGTGGCAGCACTTACAATTGACCGCCAACATTTTGAAATTCAAAATAAAACCAAATAGATAATTTAAGCATTTTGCTCTGTACAATATTTATTAATTACGATTCTTTGCGAGTTGTGCATGCATCAAAGTGTTTCTTACAGATAAATTATTGCTTACTGGCGCTCCGTTTGCTTGCTGAAACTGCCCCAGTACGTAAATTGTTCACAAATGCTTAAACTGGGCTGACAGGAATCTTAATTTAGCGAATAATACAAGTCATATATATAGGTTACATAGATTACATGTATAGATACTTTCGTGTGTTCGATTGCTATTGATCAATAGCCGATTGATTTGTAACAATTGAAGTTAATTAAATAAATTAAATACCGCTAGTTTGATTTTTAACTGCTACAAAATCGGTTAATTTGACGAAAAAAAAAAAAATATTATCGCGACACGATTTGATTGTTTTCTCCGGTTCAACTCCGTGCTTTTAATCATTTCTTAGGTCTAGAATCTTGAGACTACACAGAGGAAGTGGGTTTTTTTGGGGACTGGGCTAATTACGCGCAGCTGCGCGCCCTCCGTTGAAAGCGCTTCATGCGTCGGTACCAGTCCTCCTTCCATTCGATAACGATTGAATGCGGCCCGATGCCCAGGTACCCGGGTGGTGCCTCCGAGTCCCGACCCAAGATCAAATAGGATCTGCAAAAAAAAAGTCAAGAATTATTATTTGGTTCGTAAGACAAGCCACTTAAATCACTTTTTTAGATTAAAGTGTGTTTATTTTTATTCAATTTATACGCATTTATAAGTCGAAATTCGAAAACTGAATTTAAAAAACAATTTGATTTCATGATTTTTCAACATAAACGCATTTCAATCGTGATTTTGATATTTTTTCATTTTTAAAAAAAAGGTTTTAGTTTTATAAAGATCAAACGATTATATCACATAGCGGTTATACATCCAAATAAAAAATTAGCTAAATATTTGCCAAAATATTTTTAAATTTAGGAATTATGAACTAAAAGATTAGCCTCTCCTATATATTCGTCGAAAACTGAGCTTTATTTTAGACAACTTTGATCTTTATAAGTTTATTTTGAATTTTGGGGGTGGGATGGATAAAAAAAATTTATTGGAAAATCGACATAACTTCGGTGTTTTTAAACATATGAATGAGTTTAATAAAATAAACATATTTTTTTGTTTTAATGAAAAAGGCTTTTTTTGTTTCTATGCGATTCAAGATTCCTTGAGTTTTGCAAAATTCAGATGAGTACAGATATCCTACAGTTGTCATATATTTTCGTCTGACCATTAAGTCACTCAATAAGTTATTTCTGATGCCGTATCGACTATTGATTTACAGATATGCCTACCTGTTTACTCTGATCTTGGGACAGCGGCACTCCAGGTCCTTAGTCGGTATGATCCAGGTCATAGGACCGCGTTTTAGCGTTGTACTCGGCATTCCGTACACGTTCCCCGCGCCGCTGCTTTCGCCTGGCCTGCTGCGCTTGAAGACGGCCTGGATCTGCAGATCGTAGTGCACCGCTTCGTTGGCGCTGGGATAGTCCGCCCCCTCCGCCTCCGCCCCCGCCCCCGCCCCCGCCTGCAACTCGTACTCCGCCGGACGATCCTGGTCCATTTCGTAGTCCGCCACGTCGGGATCCATTGCGCGCCGTGGAGACTCCCTGCTGGCCGCCTCGCTGCTCGTATCGCGACCAATTACTTTGGCCATAATTGCTAAATAATAAATAATAATAAGGGGGAGATTTTAATTAGCATGGAGTTTACTAGAACTTGAAACCCCAACTGCTTGTTAGAAGCAGAGAATGGCTATGACGGGTTAAGATGGTACTTTCTTTCTTTTTTTATTTTAACTGCTTTTAAAAAATTAAGAAAATTAAAATATTGAACATTTAAAAAGAAACCACAAAACTTTACAATAATAATATTCCTTAATAAATCAATATATACCTAGCATCCAATACAAAACTTAAAAAAAAAATTTGCCTAAATTAAAACAACATTTCAACATAAATGTAATTGGCGTTATGTACGCACAACGGTTTCTATGCTTTTCGTAAGTTTTTTAAACATTTCTAACATGGAATTAAATAAATATTAATTTTAATTTAATTGAAAAAGTGACCAAGTTATTGCATTATAATCATCATCGAAACACAAAGAAGTATAGAAAATAAATTTGTTTAGAAGCTTAAACTATTCTTTGTGTCTGTTTTGTTTTGATGGGTTATTCAAACTTACCGTAGTCTCTTTTGCAGAACTTGTTTAGGTTTAACCTTTTGGTGCTGACTTTGCATCTGCCGCATTCTGAAAGGACACAAAACATGGATTTTAAAATAAGCTAATCAAATCCTATGGTAAGTTGTTCGCAATGTGAGGTCCTCTGTGTTGAGGAATTCGCCACACAGAGCGAGCAATCTCTTCGACATTTCACAGAAGACATGAAGCTGAACAAATGGTCAAATGGATCGGAGTGATATTGTGTTAGAGGTTAATTAAGGGTAGGATTTGCTAGGGTGTGCTATTTACTCCTATACCAAAGCCGTCCCTTTTTGCATGCGTCCTTCGGAGGGGGCATTCCACTTTGGTGTTTGCAATTTAATTGCAAAATTTATGTCTTTATGGCCAATGCCAATTAGCAGAAACAGTGGCAGAAACAACGGCAGTAGTGCTCGATCAATTTTACATTAAGACTGCCCCGCCTGCCAGCCCATTCCCCTGCACAGAAAGAAAATAATGGTGTCTTCCCCAGCCATCGATTAATAAATGTTTCGAGCGAAATATTGCACCAACTTCTGCTGAAGAATTCGCGCTTAGCAGTTACTTGTTAGTTAACGGTAGATAGGTAAGATATCAGAAAGAAAGAAAGAAATAAAAAATTAATCATGTATTGATCTTATTTAATAATGATGCGTTTAAAAACAAAAGCTAATTATACACATTTCCATTTGCATTCAGATCCAATGCTTTATTTTTTAAATTTTATTTTTTTGCGTGTATTGTATTTGTGTATTTTGACTTCGTGCCTTGGGACGCCTTTTGTGTCGACTAAAATTAGCCAATAAGTTTTTGTTTTGTTTTTCCTTTGGCTGGGAATTGCAATTTGCCTTGTTGCTCTTTCTGCCGCCGATCGCAATGTCAAAGCAAACGTGACACAATTGAGGCAACTCTCGATCGGTTCGTGGCATAAACATTTATAATAAATGAGTCGGACGATTTATAAATCGATCGCCGAGAGGTCGAAATTAAAACCGAATCTGAAGTCGAAAGTGAAAATGGCACTTTCCCTTGGCTATTTATGGAGCAATCTCTGCGCATCCCTCTCATCCGAATAAAGTGAATTTTTCCGATGCACTTAGCAAGCAAACGATATTTATCGCCGTCATTTAAAGATCATTAGCCACGCCCCGAATACGAACTAAAATATCCAAAAATAAAGCTAGGAGGTCAAAAACGTCTGAGTCATTATTCGGGAATCCCTCTTTTGGCAATGGTGTCATTGCTATATGTACTATGAAGGTGCTTAAGTGGGTCAGCATTTCTCAGACATTGTGAGAAATTATTTGGGAAATTCTTGAAGTTACTTATTTTTGCTATGAAGTATGTTTCAGAATATGTAAAGATGCAGAAAATATTTGAAAATTCGCCTTGAACTAAGTCAATAATATTTCATCACTATAATGCTATAATTATTAGAATGAGTTAAATATATGCAATTTTACTTTAAAGTTAAAAAAAACCTTATTGCTTTATTTATATTTTATAAAGAATTAGCCTTTGTCAATTACTGTTTTAATTTTGTTTTTTTTTTTACTTTCTTCACCTTTGAACCTTATCCTTTCTGTACCTTGAACAGAACAGAATATACTGGAATATACCTAGCCAAATATTTAATACTTAAATTAAATTATGAAATTTTCAATTAATGCTTTGAAGCCTATTAAATTAATTGTACCGCTTTCGAACATAAATCGGCAACTTTAAACTTTGGCAACAAAATATAGTACGCTGCACTTTAACAACTATTTGTGAACATTTTGAGCAAACATAAATCTTTCAAAAATTTGCCAGTCATCAAATTAACATAATATTAAATTTGACCCACGCCCCATAGAAGCACACAGTTGGACGTTTTGACATGCGGGGGCAACTAACTTTAAATTAACTCAAACTTGGACAGAATTTTAAATTAATTTAATAAGATTATCAAATTATAAATTCATAATTAACATTCATGTTCGTGCTGAGCGCTGAGCACTGAGCACTGAGTACTGTGTGGCGGGGTGTGCTGAGGGGGTGACTGCGGGGGGCGTGGCAATAGCGTCAGCCACGCCCCCTCATGTTGTGCCAATGAATAGCAAAGGACGAACTTTTTCGTTGAGCCTGCGTCTGTGTGTCCATTTGCCTAACTCAGTTCTTGGTTACAAGAAATGGAAAACTTTCCACCGACAACTTTTCCAACTTGCGCTTTTCTTTGCCGTTGACAAATAAATTTAAGAGGGGCTGCCTCTTTAAACGCAGTCCTCAGTTCGTCTGCACCTCGATTTGCATTTTTGGCCTGATGGATAGTGATAGGAACGGAGTACAGTGGAGTGGAGTGGCTGCTCCTTCAGCCGGAGGCAACTTGATATGCAACAATTGCAGCCAGGAATTGATCCTAGTCGGCTTGGATATTCGGGATTGGGTTTGGGTTTGGGTTTGGGGCACAGCGTCTGGCAGCTATTCATATCTTGTTGCAATTTTAATGGATTTTATGGATTTTGAGAACTTATTCTTCTAGCTTCCTGTGCCGTGGTAATAAAATGTTCTTAATAGAGCTTTCAGGGTATTAAAGGAAATATACGAATTAATTTGCCACTGTTAGGTGGTTGTCAATTAAAAGAGCGATTTGTGAAATTAAATGAATTTTAAACTCACAACTACGACTAACTTACATTTATATTTTACTAGTTTATTATTGCAGAACACTAAATAAAACAATCGGATATGGAACTCCATTTGAATAAAAAAATAAGTCTTTCTAAGTTAAATTTATAAATGTAATTTCCATTTGTATACAAAAGGATACAAATTAAAGAAAATTTCACTGCATTTCAAAAGGACATTTGTAAATCCCCAAAATATTACTTTCAATATTTTCAAGGCAGTCTTTAAATCAATAACATCTGACTTAATTTTTAAAATATTTTCTTTGCCTGAGGAAGAATGCTTTAAACATATTTTTATGCATCGAGGACTTGTTAACTCTAAATTTCTGGACATTTTCGTATACCATTGGCGATAATCTAATTCATTTAACCTTTTTTTATAAAACAGATTTGAGTTTCATTATGCTTTCTCAAAAATGAGGCTCATAGTAATTCTTGACTTCTTTGTTCGTTTGATTTGGTCACTTAACGATGACGATGTTACTCCATTATGATTAAGTCGGCGCTTATACTTCCTGTGGCTGCTTAACTTGCTCAGTCAATTTGTCATTGTTTCCACTTGCAGCTGCATAAACGGCTCATCCTGTCGTCCTTTCCCCCATTCCCCCATCCATCCATCCATCCATCCATCCATCCATCCACCCATCCACCCGCCTTTCGGTAATCCTTCGCTGACTTTTGCCTAATGCCTTGAGCAAATAGTTGGGAGCAATTAGCGGCGGAGGCAGAAGTACTGGCTTTGGTACTCGTACCGGACACAGTGGGACCGAAAAGTGGGCGACTGCTCTTGCCGCTGCTGCAGCTTATTCATGGGAAATTAAATAAAAAACTTTTTTAATACATTTGCTCTGCTAAGTTTTTCGCCTGCTCTCTGTCATTCTGCATTTTCCACACTGGTTCTCTATCTTTTTGTGATGTTTCTTTGGGGTCTTCTTTTGTTGTTTTTGCCACTATTTCTGCTGCTGTTTTAATACCCTGTACTTAAAGCTATCAAGGGAATGCCTGATTTGCGCAAAGAATTTGTAGTTCTTAATGATAGCTACGTTTATATTGGAATACAGTAAAATACTGCACCTAGCTATCCAAATATCACCATGTTTTTTGGCTCATAGAAAACACTTTATATTTTAAGTAAATTTTATTTAAAAATTAAATTCAAAAAAAGTAGACAGTTTACCCTTACTGAATATAAGAACAAGGTAATTTACCTTTACCATGCTTTTGAAGGTACAAGAACGAAATTATGTTAGAATATTTATATTTCCGCTATAGTCTATATTGCTAAATTGTGTTTAAATAAGAAAGTTCAATTCAAGAAAAGATTTGTTAATGGTTAGTATGGGATAACTAAAAGTCGTCAGCCTTTAATCGAATCTGTACTTTTGTTTTTTTCTTGGAGTTTTATTGTAAAGTTTGTTTTGCTTCGAGAGGGAGAGGGAGGTGGGCAGAACTGGGCTTAGTATGATTTATGCTGCGTGGCGCATTTTGTATGCTTGTTGCACTTCGCCACTAACCCCTCTTACCCCATTCCTCCCACTTCTCTCTGGGGCTCCACTGTACTTTCTTCGCCACTGTAACTAAAAGTTGCGTGCAAAGATTTGCGTTGTCTGTTAGGTGCCGTTGTCCCTCCATCTCTTTCTCCTTCTGGTTCGCCATCTCTTTCTAACTCTTCTGCTCCTTATGCCGCCTCTTGTTTTTCCACTTCCACTTTTCCTGACCGACAACCGACTGCACTTTAGCGGATTTGTGTTTTCTCACCCATTTGAAAGGATTACAAAGGCGGGCCAAGCGCCACGGCAACTACTATGTGCCTCCTTCGCTTCGGGCCTTGGACAGTGATCCCTCGCTTATGCAGAACGCTGGGCATTTGTAGTTCCTCCACTTAAGTTTTAATTAGTCTTAAGCTGTACAAGGTTTTGGATAGTGACATTAAGTGGGGTGGTCCTTGCACTTCAGATCTCTTAAAAACTCTATCTATTCTAGCAGAACTCAATTAATAAAATAATCAAATATCGATATAATTTTCCACTGTTACTCATTTCTGAAATGGTAACTATAAAATTATCTATCTTTGCATTGGCATTTTCTTTTATTGGTTATTTAATGTGAATAAATTTTTTTGAAAAGAGATTTTTTATTATGGAGCTTTACGCTAGAAAGTCTGTAGCTGTATATTAATACCCAAACTTTTGGTTGATTATTTTCCATTCACTGGTCCTCTTTACGGGGACTTCCCTGCGACCACTGATAAACAATGCTACCAGTTAGTGTAAGCACTCGAAACAGGATGTCAAGGAGCGGAAGAGTGTGGAAGCAGGGGCTCCGGATAGTCGGTTAGCACACAAAACACAACAGAAAGATATGGATATGAGAGGAGGCACTTACTTACCCCTGCCGCCCTCGGTGCGATAGTACTGGGTTTGGGCGGCCGTTCCGGAGGCGCCTCCGCGATCGCCGCTAGATCCTGGCGAGGATTGGGGCTCATCCGGCTCGGGAGCGGTGTTTTGGGTGTCCAGCATGTTGATCATTCGCGGCGGTTGCTCTGTGGTTAGGAAAAAGAGTTTGTGACATTATGAAAATTTACTAAATAGCTGTCTTATAATCACAATTGTGGAGAATCTCTTGGAAATTAACAAAAAATATCGTAAGTATTGCAAATGGCACTACTGGTGAAATTTTTACTATTTATTTCATGTGGGGGTGCACAGAAAACAATAGGGTTTTGAAGTCTTGGTGTCTAAAAGTATGCAAAGAAAATTAGGAACATTATATTTCGTAATAAAAATATATTGTTGCCTTCTTCTAGATACCTTTATAAGTGATTTCAAAATCTTAGAAATTTTTGTAGTACCCCATTAAAAAGGCAATAAAAACACTGCAAAACCATCAATTGCTTATTGAATTTTTAGGGACAAATATCGAAAATATTAATCAATATATGCTATCGATAGTTTTGCAGCACTATTTCACAGCTAACGATTGAATTCCAGATACGATTGGTGTAAAGCCCTCTTGTAGTTGAATTTGGTGATACTTCAGTCATAGTTCTTTAGAGTTTCGTACTTACTTATACAGGGGGCGATGTGGGAGCGGCTCTGTTGGTAGCCGCGGGCGCAGCGGTCGCAGGTCAGTCCGGTGACTCCGTCCTTGCAGGGACATTGACCGCTGGTGCTGTTGCAAATCTTGCCAGATGACCCGATCGGATGGCACTCGCAGGCTGCAACGAAAAGAGATATGGGAACGAACAATTAGCCGGGCTATATCACAAATATCAGACGGCGAAAACAAGATGCAGATGCTGATGAAATTTTTTCGGAGCGTGCTGAGAGCTTAATGGACACGGTCCGGCACTTCAAAGCCAAATGGCGTTCGCCATTCGCCATTCGCCAATCGACAATCGACAATCGCCGCCGGAATCGCCAATCTGGTGCACTTGAGTTTTACTTAAAGTCTTTCAAGTTCTGATTTCTGCACCATCGCCCACCGCCACTACCGGTGATTTTCGCCCCCAAGCTACCGTCCTTGCAGCTGAAAAAGATTCGTTTATGAGCCGTGGAAATGTACATTAACAGACACGATTACGGTCCGAGCATTCGTATACGTATATTCGCCTTTCCCGGCAAATTGAGTGCACACCACCAGTTAACGCTGTCCGTTCTTTGTCCGTTTCTTGTCCGTCCGCACACGGTTAATTGCAAATGAGAGTGCAAATGGGCCCGCCCAGCTTTATGGACGGAGGAAATGCTCCTCTATGCTTTACAGATTTACAGAATCAGTGGGCACTGGAACAATGCAAGTGGTTCGGTATCTTCACAGAGCAAAAAATGAATTTATTCATACACTTATCGCAACCACGCATTGGTCATGCCAGCACACACCGGTTTCTACTACTCTCTAACTACATAAACAAACTAATAACTCTGGTTTTTCTTTTTATAAAACATTCTATCACTATGCTAGTCTGATATTCAGAAAATAAATGGTAATATAAATTCTATATTTTAAGACGAATACATAAATAATAAAAAAACCTTAGCACAAACTATTTATATGAATTACATCGTTTTTTTGTATATCTTTGGTACCCGAAATACTTATTTTGTTTATCTGTATAATAATCTGTATGTAATACAAATTACATTTTAATTTTAACCTTGTTTCGAATTCGGATTATTTTTGTAACTCTATGAAAAAAGGAATCCTTTTTGATTTAAATTTTCATTAAGTTTTGCTCATATCTTTCTCTCCGTGTATCTTAATTCAAAAGCTATATAAATTATATATATTACATATTTTTGTGGCGTTCGCTTTCATTAACTTTGTTCACTGGCGCTTCTACCGGCCACTGCTGGCAAAGGCGGTACAAAAGCAGAGAAAGCGAGCTCTTTATCCTTCATTTCACGATTCTTGTCCTTATTTCGGGGTATTATTTGTGTCATATGTGTCGGTATGAGACCATTTTGAAGGGCTCTACGGTGGTTTCCTTAGCTGAGCCTGCTTCCTGTGGGTTGTTTAGTTAATAAGCCGCTTTTGGCCACATTTAATGGGTCTTTGCGCTGGCTCTTGGCTAAAAGCTGTTGCATATTTAAAGATTTAACTTGTGTATGGTATTGGAAGGGGGAAAAGCTGAGGGCTGTGTTCGGAGGAGGCAAATGTGCATGTCAAATTCTGAGTACACACTCACAGTATTTAACCCATTACTGAAGCTCACTAATGCACTAAAAGCATAATATTTTCGAATGACACAATAAATGTTCAATTTATTTGGTTACGTATTTATTTAAGAGCAATCAGATACGAATTTAAGTTTCATTTAATATTTTCAGTTGAATATTAAAGGCTCAAAGATACAAGTGAAGTTTTAACCTCTGAAACTTAATGGGTTAAACTAGGCCCGCAATCCATCCTTCCGTCCTGCTCTCATCCTCCGAACCTCTCGCTCTCGCTCTCACTCCCATATTCCATATACCATAACCCGTGTTCGTTTCGTGCGTTCGTGCAACATTTGGTAATTTAATCCGATTTACAATAAATTAAATGCGATTTATATGCACACAGTGACACATCCGGATGATAGCAACAACAATAACGACAACAGACAATAATAACTTGCAACAACAGCAACCAGAGCAACAATTCCGAGTGTCCATTGTTGCCTGCGGGGCGTTTCATAGTCGGAGAATGGTACAGTGACTCGAAAATAATGTGCAAAACATTAAATCAAGCTATATATATCTAAATTTTCTTTGTTTTTCAAAACTTAAAATTTGAAATTTTCAAACGTCTTTAAAAATTATATAGATTTATAAATACTTACATATATAACATAGTTTGGTTTATTTAATATAAATAAAATTAATATATTCTTAGGTAAGGTAAGATGTTGTAATTTAGTTTTAATCTATAGATATAGGTAATACGAAAATAAAAATAATTGAACCTTTACTAGGTACCTCCCAGCACTGACCAAAATATGCCTACAATATTTTACCGAAACCATTTTAGTTGTAAGTTGTTATTAAAATAACGAAAAATTTAGTCATTAGTTAATCTATACAATGTAACATAGTTATTAAGACAAGAGAATCATGTGTATGACCCGCCAGTAAAGTTATTTATAAAATCAATGACCAGATTTTTGCAATTTTACTTCTTCAAGAAGAGCTAAAAATTTTAGAAAATCTCAGATTTTAAAATATACTTCGTTGTACAGTGCAACATACGGTGGGTTTGAGGCCAACAATATGACAACAATATGTGAGTTGTGCGCGCCGCGCTATCTGCGAGTGGCAGAGTGTGGGCCAGAAGGATGGTGTATGGATATGGGATGTGGGACTTGGGACTCTCGGCTTTTGGACATTGTTAAAATAAGCTAGCCAGAAAAAAAGCGGCAATGTGCGAGGTGGAACGCGAAATGAACGAGTTCATTACATATCCACATCCCATATCAGTGCGCGGCATTGGCATTGGCATATATCCCCAAAGCCCGTATCCGGATCCCATCTGCATCCCCAGTGCATTCCATATGCTCCGGCCGGATTTTCTTACCATTTTCCATTGTGTAAATTCGTATTCCTCTGGTTTTTCATCGTGTTCGTGTGTGGCCCATTGGTCGAGGTAAAGATTATGAATTTTCATTATGGCGAGGCGGCAACAGAGGGATCCAATCGAGTGGCTACATTTTCGAATAGTCGGGTACGCATTTCCCCGGAGTCATTTGCATTTCCATTTAATTATTGAGTGAAGAGTGGACCGATGACTCAGGCAATCCCTTTCACCAGGTCTCCTTTTAATTTAACGCGACTCGAGAAGTGCTGAGATGCAGTGCGACCCGAATCCACCGTCTTGAATCATTTGGCCAGAGCGGACAAAGAGCTTGTGAAGAGCTCGTCCCTCTTCTTGGCTTATCCACATCGATTCAGGTCAGGGTTCCCCGAAATAAATGAGCTCCTAATGAGAGCAGTTCGCAAATGAATCACTCGACCTACCGGCTGGCCATTTGATATACGATGTGGCAGCAGGGGACTGCAGATCCAGTGAGAGTGAATCGAGTTTGCATGTTTCTAGTTAGTTTAGATTAATTATTGAAAATCGGTTTCTGAAATTTTATACAATTCCATATCATTATTTATTCCTAAAACACGGATGCTCTCATCATTGAACTTGATTTATTAAAGACTTTTTTGTAAAATTAAGACATAGGAAACGTTTATTTCCCTCCAGGGCGCCAATTATAATTACTCACCGAATAATTATTGATTCAAATTTCCCTGGGATATGTACTCGCCACTGAAACCGGTGATATAAGGCCATTATCCACTCATTAGATCATTGATTTAACACAAATTTCTCGCTACACACCGATTCGAAGTTACCTCATTGAACGACCTATTAAACAGTTGAGTACACATAAATAAATATGCATGTTCTCATGTGCGTATGTGCCGAATATATATCGATGTTTATTCACATTTGCAGGTATGTTTTATGGCATCTGCCAGGCACGGGTATTTTTAAATCAATCATTCGCAGTACGGTTTGGCTTTTATTTGTAGATGAAATGGCCAGAATGTGTGTTATTTCTCCACTCCCATCGACCTCCGACCTCCGACCCTTTCGCATTTAATTTGGACAATTTTCTGCTTTGAATATTTCGATTTGGTTTTTATTTATCATTTTTCATTACCGCACAGAAATAAATAAAATAAGAAGGATCGAAGTGGCTAAGTGCACCGACTATCAGATACCCATTATTCTGTTTAACTAGTTGCAAAATTCATATACCCCCAACAGGTGGCGCCTCCTGGAATTATATACTTGGCAAACAAAACAGGTGTGCCGCCATCTGGTGGCTAATAATTTTTCATGGCAGATTTAATTTCCTTATAATTTTAAAAAACATTTTTTGATTTGGAAATATGTTGCTGACTTTAGTGCACAAATATATTGATCGAATAGATAAATCAGCCATACATACATACAAATACAATGTACCCTTTAAACCTTTTTTTCAAGAATCGAATGATCATTAATGGGACTGTTATTAATTTAGCAATTTCTGCTGTTCTTTTTTTCCCCCAAAACGATGTACTATTTAAACATTATTTTCACATTTAAAGTGGCTATTTCCAGGTAGTCCTAAAATTCGCTAGCACACAAACATATTTTTCTTGGCTTTGGCTTCCTCTTTTTCGGCAACAAGAAATTAATTGAGCACCACCCACTCGCATTCACTCAAACCAAAGTACTAGCACACAACAAGGCATTGGGCCTAATGTAAACATCATAAAGCAAATCAAGCGCAATTTGTTATTGTTTATTTCAACTTTGCGCAAGCGAACCCCCCTCCCTCCACACTCTCCTAAGACAGAAAAAAAAAACAACACTGACCAATGAAGGAAAGTGCGTTACATAAATTCACCGAAAAGTCTCTTCCTCGACCATCAATTGCCATAAAATATTACCCGAAATTTTCTAGTCCAACAACGACGAACTGAGAAAAAGGAAAACGAAAATGAAAATGAGAACGAAAATTGTTAGCCGTAAAGAGCACAGCTGCCACTAGTCAGGGGGCTATTGTTGATGCTGCTATTTGTTATTATTAGCAAAAACAAAAGCCCAAAGAATCGTGCAGTTTTCCCAAGAAAACCAAACAGACTCCTCCGCATCCGCAGCCGCAGAAGAAGAATTATGAAGAAGATTTCGCAGACCCAGTCT